ATATGCCTGTCGCCTCTCGTCCGCTCCCCCGCTCCTGGAGGGAATTCTGAAGCCACTGAAGGCTTCGTGGGGGCCGTTTCGGAGCCTCTTCGGCCTTCTTTTGGGCCTCCCGGGGGGGCTCTTAGGGCCCTCTCGGGCCGTCTTGGGTGCCTCTTGGGCCGTCTTGGGGCCGTCTGAGGCCCGCCTCGGCGCCTCTTGGGCTGTCTTGGGCCGTCTTGGGCCGCTCCTGGGGCCGTCTTGGGTGCCTCTTGGGCCGTCTGGGGCGCCTCCTGGGCCGTCCTGGGGCCGTCCTGGGGCGTCTTGGGACCGTCTTGGGGCCCTCCTGGCCCGTCTTGGGGCTCTCTTGGGGTCCTCTTCGGCCGTCTTGGAGCGGTCGGGGGGACTTCTTGGGCCGTCTTGGAGCGTCGGGAAGCCGAAGAGGCGAGGAGGCCGAAAACATCGAAAAACACAACAGAAATCGACGATTTCTGTCGCTCGGGGCCCTCTTGGGAGGCCTCTTGGGAGGCCTCTTCGGGCGTCTTGGACGCCTCTTGGGCCGTCTGGGGCGAATCTCGGGCGTCTTGGGCCCATCTTTAAGCGTGCCGGGGCTCTCCGGGGCCGTCTTGGGGGCTTCGGGGGGCCCTCTCGACATGTCCTGGAGCCTGCCTGGGCGGCCTGGGGCGGCCCGGGGCCAGCCCGGGGCGGTTTCGGTGCATTGGGGCCTGCGCCCTTCTGGCACGCACTGGGCCCTGCAATGTAGTAGAGACTAGGGCAGACCTGTGGACTCCGTCCACGACATCAGCTCGACGTGGCGAGGGGTCTCTGGGCAAGCGCGGGGGGGTGCGGCTGCAGGGCCGAAAGGCAATCATGATGGCGTCGGGCTCCTCCTCCTCCTCCTCCTCCTCCTCCTCCTCCTCCTCCTTTTCCACCTTCTTCTCCTCTTTCGCTCGATTCTCCATGCCCTCGGTCGGCAATCGTCGATCCTACGACGACTCTCCCCAACAGAGAAACATCGAAGGCCCTCGGAGCGTCCAACATTGTTCTTTTTACCTAACAGCGAAGACTGATAGGTTTCTAGTAGGGTAAAAAGAGGTCACAGGTCACTCCACAGGGGGGTCCGGGCAGGTGTTGGGAGTTGCCGGGTGCGGGCACTGTGCCGAACTCGTTTTTCACCAACAGTCACACACTTCGTGCTCTTCGAGTTCCCAGAACTCCATTCCCAGGCCACATTCTGGCCGGATGCAACAGTCACACACATTCGTGCTCTTCGACATCCCAGAACGCCATTCCCGGGCCACATTCTGGAGGGCCGGATGCAACTGTCACCACTTCGTGCTCTTCGAGTTCCCAGAACTCCATTCCCGGGCCACATTTTGGATGCCCGGAGCCAACTGTAGGCCACTTCGTGCTCTTCGAGTTCCCAGAACTCCATTCCCGGGCCACATTTTGAATGCCCGGAGCCCACTGTAGGCCACTTCGTGCTCTTCGAGTTCCCAGAACTCCATTCCCGGGCCACATTTTGAATGCCCGTAGCCAACTGTAGGCAACTTCGTGCTCTTCGACTTCCCAGAACTCCCATTCCTGGGCCACATTTTCAGCAGGGGCAAGAGCACGACGAGGAGGAGGACGAGCAAGACCAGGAGGACGAGGACGAGCAGGAGCAGGACGAGGAGCAGGAGGAGCAGGAGAAGAAGGACGAGCAGGAGGAGGAGGAGGACGAGCAGGAGGAGGAGGACGACCAGGAGGAGGAGGACGACCAGGAAGAGGAGGAGGAGGAGGAGGAGGGGGAGGAGTACCAGGAGGAGGAGGAGGAGGAGGAGGAGGAGGAGGAGGAGGAGGAGGAGGAGGAGGAGGAGGAGGAGGGAGAGGAGGGAGGAGGAGGAGGAGGAGGAGAACGAGGACACCAGGAGGAGGAGGAGAGAAGGAGGAGGAGAGGAGTGAAGGAGGAGGAGAGAACCCAGGAGGAGGAGGACGAGCAAGACGAGGAGGACGAGAACGAGGACGACCAGGAAGAGGAGGAGGAGGAGGAGGAGGAGGGGGAGGGGGAGGACTACCAGGAGGAGGAGGAGGAGGAGGAGGAGGAAAGAGGAGGAGGAGGACGAGGAGGAGGAGGAGGAGGAGGAGGAGGACGAGGAGGAGGAGGGGGGGGGAGAGCACCAGGAGGAGGAGAACGAGGACCACCAGGAGGAGGAGGAGGAGGAGGAGGAGGAGGAGGAGGAGCACCAGGAGGAGGAGGACGAGCAAGACGAGGAGGACGAGAACGAGGACGAGCAGGAGGAAGAGGAGGAGGAGGAGGAGGAGGAGGAGGAGGAGGAGGAGAAAGCAGGAGAAAGAGCAGGAGGAGGAGGAGGAGGCAGGCTGAGGCTGAGGCTGTGACTGCGACTGCCGTTGCCGCTGCGACTGTCATCGCGAATGCGACTACGACTGCGAGAACAGCAGAATTCGACAAACTGGATTTTTACCTAACAGCGAAGACTGATAGGTTTCTAGTAGGGTAAAAAGAGGTCACAGATCACTCCAC